GGCCCCCAGATGGCCAGACGAGAGCCCCCTGACAGCCCCAAATGGCCCCAAGACGCCCCCCGAAGCAATCCAATCGTGATCCAATCGTTCATGGAAACCGTGTTTGGAAGCAGGGTGGCCCGAGGAAGCCCCCCAAAGCCTCAGAAAGAACCCAGGAGGCCTCCAGAAGGCCCAAATAAGCCATTAAAAACTTCCGTGAGGCCCCCGAGAAGCTCTCCAAGGAGGAGCCTCCGCAAAAAGAGCTGAGCATGGGGACGAATTCGCAGGATAGGGCGAGAATGAGGAAGAGGAAACATGAGGAACAGATAGCGAATCATATTATTAGAACGGCGATGTCGGAACAAAAGGAAACAAGGAATGATCGTTCAATTTTCCGACCATACCTTCCTGCCCTTCTGCCTGCATGGCCAGCATCAAGGACCAAGGTGCATGGTGCGAAGCGCCAATGCAGCAGTCATGTGTATATATATATGTCCTATATGTAAGTGTATGCATATTCTGGGTGTAGGCTATGCCGTGCGAGTTAAATAGTACAAGCAGTGTGGTGTGAGCAATGCCGTGTAAGCTAGGCGGTGTTAACTGAATGAGAAAACTATGTCTTGTAAGCTCTGCTATGTAAGCTACGATGTGTGATTTATGCGGTGCGAATTACGTGGTGTAACCTATGTGGTGAACGCTATGCCGTGTAATATATGCGGTGTAAGTTATGTGGTGTAAGCTGTGTGATGAGAACAATGTCGTGTAGATACACAAAGAGGGGGTGCCCACCAGGCGGCACGGGCCCACAACGTGGCGGAACCCCGCCGTACCCACACAGTTCCGTACGTAACAACAAAAAGAACCCTTCAGTATAAGCACTTTTTGGGGTACACGAAGCTCTCGCCTTCGCGCCGCGCGCATTTGTCTTGAAACAATACAGAATTTTCAAGATGGAGGTCAACACGTTTTCATACCGTGGCTCTCGTCTTAGCGTCGTTCACGCTCGCACGTTTCCTAAATGAGGCTCTCGCCTGAGACTTCTTCAACACAAACTAACACAAGTGTGACAATGTACAACGCTTGTAATAATGAGCGGCCGTTGCTTTTTGAAGTGGGGCTCTTGCCTTCGACTTCGTTTGCTGTCAGTGGCAGAAGTAAGGAGCTGTGCAAAGTTTACACGGAGGGAGGGCGTTTTCTTGTCAACGCGGTGCTTTGTCTGGGCACTGCCTTGAACTTTAAAGCCCAACCTTGTCGCAGTTACAATAGCGCGAAGACTGGAGGGCGGTTTCCTTCAAAACGGAGCTCCCGCCTGAACTGCGGGCTCACGTTGCGCTCGTCTTGCAAGGGGGTCTTCGCGCAGTGACAGAGAGCGCTCGTAGCGACTGGCGAGGAGGAACTCTGGGACTGCATGGTGCGGGGCAGCATCGTTGACACATCTTGGGGATACTCTGGTCCTCATTCCCTCCCGCTTCCTTCCCTCCCCCTCCCCCTCCCCCTCCCCCTCCGCCTCCTCCTCCTCTTCCTCCTCCTCCCTTCCCGCTTCCTTCCCTCCCCCTCCTCCTCCTCCTCCTCCTGCCTCCTCCTCCTCCTCCTCCTCCTCCTCCTCCTCCTCCTCGGGGGCGTGGGCTGACTCCGCGGCGATGGCCGCCCGCGCTCTCCTGCCCGCCGACGGCCCCGCACTGCGCCCCGACCCTCCTTCCCTGAGATCCGACGTGGCGAACAAAATTGCGACACCGCGGCACATCACGACCGGAGCCCCAGATCAGCGACTCCGAAGGGTGCGGTTTGCAGCCGGCACCCTGAGAGGCACCCTGGGGGGCGGGCGAGGACCTCGACAGAGCTCTCCGCCGCGCCCCGAGGGGGCCCGACGAGGACGGTGTCGTGCCCCCCCAAGCCCCGACGGTGCCGATCGCAAACCACACCCCGGCGTAACCATACACTTTGTAGTCGCCGACCGAACCCCATCTCCCTGCGGCATTTTTCGAGCCGTGTCGATCTGTGACTCTCGCAGACGCCCGGTGTGACAAGACTGCAACGCCCATCGGAGCGGGGGGAATCGAGACAGCGGCAGCTCGAGATCGGTCCCCGGACCCATCTACTCCTGGGTGCATGCGCACCAGTTTGCCGAGCTGCGTCCAGCCGTGGCGACGACGGGGGACCCCCGAGGGCCCGTTGTCTCGGCGGTGGACAAGCCTCGATTTAGTAAACCTCCCCTTAGTGAAAACGGCCCGGGACCGAAACCGACGGACCTGGACACGCAAAAGTGACGGCCGCGACGCCCTCTCGCGAACCGAAAACGGCCGATTCCTTAATCGACGTGTCGGGGTAGGAGGTCTGTCCGCCTCCGGTTGTCTCAACTCGCCCTCCTCCGAGCCCAGATCTCAAGGCTTGGCAGCCGGGCAGCGCACCCACGAGCGGGACCTCTTCCCCCCACGGCGGGCCCACGAGAGGGGGCCGCGGCCCTCGCAGGGGCCCGGGGCCCCGTCGACTCCGGCGCCCCGCCGCCTTACCACCCCCCCGCGATTCTTCTTCTTCTCCTCCCTGCGGGCGGCTTTGTCCTCGTCCTCTCGGGGGCCCCCGAACGGTGAGGAGGAGGAGGAGGAGGAGGACGAGGGGGAGGAGGAGGAGGAGGAGGAGGAGGAGGAGGAGGAGGAGGAGGAGGAGGAGGAGGAGGAGGAGGAGGAGGAGGAGGAGGAGGAGGGGGAGGAGGACTCCTCCTCCCCGTGTGGTGAGTGAGTGGGGATTCGGGGTCACCGCACGGTGTCGGGACTCGGGCCGTCCTCTGGGGACGTCTCGGGAAACCAGGGCCTCCGAGGTCCCCAGACCGTGCGGGGACGGACCGCGCGGTGAGGTCTGTTGGGGTTCCGAGGTCGCTGCGCAGCCTGTCACCACACGACTTTGGGCCCCCGATCCTCGTCGTTCTCCGGGCCCTCGTCCGGGGACTCGTCCGGCTTCTCCTCCTCCCTCTTGGCCTTCTTCTTTTTCTTCGCCTGCCCCCCCCCCACCGTCCACCGGCCCGGGCCGGAGCTCAGCTGCCCTGCAGTTGGCCCGTCGTGGGGAAGGCTGCTCAAATGAGCAGGGCAGCCATGAGAGCAGGGAGGGATACGAGGGAAGAGCTGGGGTCCGCAGTGCGTTGGCTGATTTTCAGACCGACACTTGTCGGACGTTCACTCCCAACGATGCGAACAAAAACAAAATTCCCGGGCGGATATCTCGGCAAAGGTATGGCGGAAACAGTGATTGCAAAGTAGGGCGGACATCGACAAAGGAGCTTGAAAAGTGTAGCGGAGATTCCCCAAATAAAGCGGATCCGAACTCAGGGTCCTCTCCTCCTCCTTCGCATCCTCCGCGCCGCAGCTGTCTGAGGGCCAGCTGGCCAAAAGGCGCTGCCCTCACCTTGCAGAGTCAAGGCCTGAGAGCGCCTGCGCAGAATCAATTCGGACACTTTCCACTAGGCACCGACATCCCAAGCATGCCAGAGGCAATGGTACGGTGCTGGTAGATCCTGCTACTACTTTTGCGGAGGCACCGGCCCCAAGTGGCGGCACGTGGCCGAATAGACTCGGCCGTTCGTCATGTGCTGGTACTCCTCGTGACTGTTTTGCGCGGGGACAGTCTCTGTAGTCTATGTGGCTTAGCAGACGCGTTAAAGTAGATGATCAATTCCATTGTCGATTTGTCTTTAGTGTTCTTGCTCAGGCAGGAGCTTTGGCCCTTTTAATGTGGCGTCGGCAGTACTGGCATCCCCGTCGCCACAACCCGTCCCGAGCCTGTCTTCTCGTGGCGTGATAGGCTGTGTGTTTTCACCTGTTCCCGCCCCTCGGCTCCGTCCGTCCACCGAACCCAACGCGTCTTCACATGTGCTCCCCTCCTCGATATCGTCCTCGTCCACGTTCTCTTCGTCGTCGTCGTCGTCCTCCTCCTCCTCCTCCTCTTCTCCTCCTCCTCCTGCTCACCCTCCCTGCCTCCTCTCTCCACCACTTCCTCCTCCTCCTTACTCTTTCCCTCCCCGTCCTCCTCTCCTTTTTCTCCCTGTCTCTTGCTCGTCCTCTCCGTACTCCTTCCACTCGTCGTCGTCGTCGTCGTCGTCGTCGTCGTCCTCCTCCTCCTCCTCCATCTCATGTCCTTACCAATAACTCCTCCCTGTCCCATCCAGGGACGTGTCGGTATCGCGGGTTGGGCATTTAGACTGAGACTTCCTCACCATTGATGGTCCTGAAACTAAAACTTTGCAGCAGTTTCAAAGATGAAGGGGGGGGGGGAGTTTTCAAAAGGGATAGTGGTAAAATTGTGGCTCTCGCGTTAGCGCCCCGCACATTCGTGTTAAAGCCCTGCAGCGGTGTCAAGGATGGAAGGGGGGTGGTTTTGGAAATTGGTCTCCCCCCTTTACGCAGCGCGGAGTCGTCTCAAAACTTCGGAACGGTTTCAAGAATAGACGGGGTCGTTTTCACACGGCAGCTCTTGCCTCAGCGCCGCGCGCATTCATAGTACAGCTCCAAAGATGGATGGGGGGGTGCCGTTTTCGCACTGACGCTCTCGCCCCAGCGCCGCGCACATTCGTCTAAACAGCTTGCAGGAATGATAAGAATTGAGCACAGCTCGTTTCCAGAATGGGGCTCTCGCCTCAGCGCCACGCGCAATTTTTTTCATCATCATTCGCGACGGTAAGCAGAATGAAAGACTATTCTTCTGAACGTGGGGTTTTCGCTGAAGACTTCGTCCGTCCAGGAAGCTCGAAGCTTCAGCACGTGCAGCTCACACCACGGGTCGGGGGCGTTTTTTTTTTTTTTGTTGTTTGTTGTTTTTTGTTGTTGTTGTTGTTGTTGTTGTTGTTGTTGTTGTTGTTGTTGTTGTTGTTGTTGTTGTTGTTGTTGTTGTTGTTGTTGTTGTTGTTTTTGTTTGTTCAAAATCGAGCTCCCACTTGGGACTTCCTCGAAGCCCACGGCCGTGTTTGCAAACAGGCACAGCAACTACACGGATGGGGCGGCCCTTCCTCGGAAAAGGGGGACTCGCTGGACACCTCGTTGAAGTGTGTAATCGTACTCTTCGCTTTGCTGATTGCGCGCCAAAAGGATGCAAAGGCAATCCCACCAGCCCTCTGGGCGTAGGTGGTTTAGGGCGGTTCCCCTTCCACTCCTCCCTATTCCCCACTGGGGTGGGTGGGTACCCCTCCCCCTACCCCCTCCCCTGGACCTGGACGGGGCCGGCCGCGGGCAGTTAAAGCGCCCCAAACAGCCTCGGCGAGGAAGCCAACATTTTTGGTTTCACCAAGGTTTGGGCCCTGTTTTGGCCTCTTGAGGTCACGGTGCTAAGAGGAACTCCCTCCTTCTTTGATCGATCTCCTCCAAGATGGCCCCAAGAGGCGCCAAGGAGGCCCCAAGAGGTCCCAAGAGGCCCCCAGGAGGCCCCCAGGAGGCCCTCAAGAGGACCCCGAGCTGCCCCAAGAGGACCCCCGAGCTGCCCCGAGCTGCATCCAATACGCCCAAGAGCCCCCCAGGACAGCCAAAAGACCCCCAAAACGTCCCAAGAGGCCACCAACAAACGCCCAAAAGATACCCCAAGAGGCTCCGAGAGGCATCCCAGAGACCTCTTGCCCTCTTGCTTGCCCTCCTCCTCCAACTCTTCCTTCCTCCTCCTCCTCCTCCTCCTCCTCCTCCCATCCTATTCATTCTCCTTCTCCCCGCTCCATCATCCATCCATTGAGCCTCCTCCTTCTCCTCCTCCGTCCTTCGCACGGTTCGGCCGCCCCCCTTTCTGCTGCTCCCGCCCTCCCGAATCACCTCAACTCGCCTGGGCATCGTTTTTGGATGGGCTGGAGGGGGTATTTTTTGGTACGCGTGCGCGCGAAGCGAGTCGAACGCCGTGCAGGTAGGGGCAGGTCGTGCCACAAGCTGAAGGAAAAGCATAGCGTGAGCAGCGCCGTGCACGGAGCGGGGCGGAACTCAGCGCAGCCAGAATGGCGCGGGCGGCATCGCGAAGCGGCACCGGGAACACGTCCACGTAGGTGTCGAACTGGATGCAGATGCAGTAGAAAGGCGACCCCGCATGCGACCGAATATTAAAACGCCTCAGTTACCCAGGACGGCGGTGACACAAAGGTAAACGGCAAAACGGGCCAACGATTCCCCAGGTATCTTGCCGTGCACGAAGCACAGGGCCCAGTGGGGCTCCACGACGTAGGACAGCGAACGGACCAGCAGGAGTAGCGTAATCGCCGAAGAGGACAGGAACGGCGGGTGAGTCGCAGACGTGGGAGAAAACGGCCTCCAGGTACCATGTAGAACGCGCCGATGAACGCCGACGCGTAGGAGACAAGCACTGCGGGGAAGGAGCGGAGGACGGACGGGCTGCGGTCGCTCCGAGACCTCCCCCGAAGATTCCGAATGCGAGGAGGAGGCGGGGTAGGCCGGGCTGCGGCCGCCCCGCGCCCTCCAGCGAGCAGGTCAGAGGCCCCCAGGCGAGGGCGAGCGCAGGCGGACTGACTGCGCGTGCTGAGCAACGAGAGGGCCGCCTCTCGCCAGCAAGGAGCAGCAGCGCGACCAGGGGCAGCGCGTGTTGGGTTGCCCGCGGGGAGGCTGCAAGCTGTGAGACAGGGCCAGGAGTGAGGGAACAAGGGGCGATGAGGAGAGGCAGCTGGTCGCTGCATACGCACGGAGGGCAGGTTTCGTGGCCCCATAGGGAACTCCACCGAAGGCGCTGGCGGCGGGGGTCGCATGGCGGCCTCGGGCCGATTTCGGCACACCTCTCACGAGGATCGTGGCCACATAGGGAATTCCACCGAAGGCGCCAGTGGCAGCCTCCCTCATGGTTCTCAGGGCCCTCTCCTGCTTCTGCTCCTCGGTCAAGGGGACGCCGACCTCGTCGTCGTCGCCGTCCGCGAAGACGGCCACGAACGTGTCCCTGAGCATGTCGGGCCCCGGCGGAAGCTGTGGCTACATAGGGGCGCGGGCGAAGATGGTATTCGCAATTGCGGTATTCACAACTGCGTATGGTTGGATCCTTCGCCAAGTTTCCCCCCCTCTTTATTTGTGAATGCCACGCCCTCGCTCTCTATGTATAGATGCCCCTCCCTCCCTCCCTCCCTCCCTCCATCCCTCTGTTTGTTTGTTTTCTTTTGTTGCTCGAATATCTCTCTCTCTCTCTCTCTTTCTTTATTTCTCTCTCTCTTCTCTCTCTCTCTCTCCCCCCTCTGTATTTCTCTCACTCTTTATTTCTATCCTCGTCCTCCTCTTTCTCCTGCTTATCCTCGCTCCTCCCCTTTGGCTCAAAATACGCAGCCTCTTTCTCATCCTCGACCTCGTCCCCCCGCCCCGTCTCCATTTCGCCGAGAAGCCTCGGATACTTTTTTCGTCACTGTGCCGAGGGGATGCGCGGCGATGGGAGAGAAGGGCAAAAAGGGGATAAGATCGGGATGGGGGGGGGGGGGGGGGGCGAAGGGGAAGAGGGCGAGTGGGGTTGGGGGGGGGAGGGAAGGAAAGGGGGAGGGGGAGAAGGGAGACGAAAAGGAGGAGGACGGGGAGGAGGAGGAGGAGGAGGAGGAGGAGGAGGAGGAGGAGGAGGAGGAGGAGGAGGAGGAGGAGGAAAGTAGGGCTATTTTTGTCCTGGTCTGGGCCACACGCGCCCTTCCCGCGAGCGACGACCATGGCTGGGCGCGAACACGGATTCCGGGTCTCTTGATTCTCTCGTTTCCATCGCGTGAGCGCTGAACTTTCATCATGCAGAACATTGGTAACGAGAGAATGCCCACGTGCACAGCGTGGAGGACGCCGAGGGCGGCCATGACAGTAATGGGCGGGCTCGGATATGCAGCAAGGAGCTCGGGAGTCCAGGTGCGACCCCTACGACGTCGGCCTGCTGTGGAAGGTCGCCTGCGGTTTAGCTGTTGCCGCAGGGCCAGACTGGCGGCCCAGCCGCAGCCAGCAATCCAGGATGAACCCTGACGCTGCGGTGGTCGTGCCAGCTGAGGCCCCATCCAGGGAGCAGGGAGGGCACCCTCACAACGACATCGGCCACAGCGTTGGCAGCAGCGCTTGCGAGGCTGACCAGCAATGGCGGTAAACTCACTGCTCGTGCGAGGCTAACCCGCAATGGCGGCAAGCTCACTCCATTTCCTGCACCCGTGTGTCGGTGGTGTTTCCTTACAGTCAAAAAGGAAGCGCGGCGAAGTCAGAGCTCGACGTCATTAGCTACAATGTGGAGGGATCAGTTTGCGAGAATGCGGCGGCCGCATCTCTCCTCTCCTCCACCTCCCTTCAACAGCCTGGCCCAGGAGGTCTCGCTGGAGGCGAGGCCAGAGCACGACGATACCAGCTACAGTGCGGAGGTACCTGGTTGCGAGAAGGTGGCGGCCAGGTGCGAGCGAGGAGAGGCGGCAATGAGAGTATGTAGTCGGCGTTGCTAACAACGGTGGTGCGCGGACGTCATCCGCTACAGGATGGGGCAGACGCGTGCGAGAAGAGGCGGCGGTGGCAGCAAACAGTGGTGCTACGACCACGTGATCCCAGACGGCGTCAGCTACAGGTCGGGAAAGGCGCGTGCGGAAAGAGACAGAAGTGGCAGCATAACGTGGTGCTGCATTTGGTGGATCCCAGACGGCATCAACTACGGAGTGGGATGGGCGCGTGCGAACAGATGTCGCAATGGCAGCAATCAGTGGTACCAGGCATGGTGGATCCCAGACGTCATCAGCTACTGGCTGGGACAGGCGTGTGCGGGAAGAGGCGGCAGCGGCAACCGACGGTGTTGCTGAAGGCGGTAAATCGCAATCGTCATCAGCTACAGGCTGGGATGGGCGCGTGCGAGAAGTGGCGGCAGTCGCAGCAAGCAGTGATGCTCCAACCTGATCTCACGCGTCGACGTCCTCAGCAACAGGATGGGACCAGCTCGTGCGAGAAGAGGTGGCAGTGGCAGCACACGGGGCTGCTACAGGTGGTGGGTCGCAGACGGCGTCAGCTACAGGCTGGCACAGGCCCGTGCGCGAAGCGACGGCAGTGGCAGCAGGTGGTGGCGACAAGCCTGATGGATCCAACACGCTATCAATGACAGACTGTGTCAGGCTCGCATGGGGCCAGCGGGCGCAAGAAGAGGCGACCGTGCTAGCAAACGGGGGAGCTACAGGTGGATCAAAGACGCCACCGGTTACAGGCTCGAACCTGCGGGTGCGAGACGAGATGGCAGAGGCTCAAGAGGTTGGGGAGGGGGGGGGGTCAGCGCTTTCGCCCCCCTCCCTCCGCTCTGCAAGGGGGGGGTCAAGGCTTTCGCCCCCGCCTCCGCTCTGCAGGAGGGGGGGGGTCAGCGCTTTCGCCCCCGCCTCCGCTTTGCAGGGGGGAGGGGGGGGGGGAGACATCAGCGCTTTCGCCCCCACGCCCCCGCACCCTCGCCCTCGCCCTCGTCCCCGCCCTCGCCCGCGCGCGCGCCTACGCCTTCGCCTCCGCCCTCGCCCCTGCCTCCGCCCCCGCCCCCCCCTCCGCGCCACAGCTGCCACCGCCATCACGCTCCAACTGCGTCGTCGTCGTCGTCGTCGTCGTCGTCGTTGTCGTCGTCGTCGTCGTCGTCGTCGTCGTCGTCGTCGTCGTCGTCGTCGTCGTCGTCGTCGTCGTCGTCGTCGTCGTCGTCGTCGTCGTCGTCGTCGTCGTCGTCGTCGTCGTCGTCGTCGTCGTCGTCGTCGTCGTCGTCGTCGTCGTCGTCGTCGTCGTCGTCGTCGTCGTCGTCGTCGTCGTCGTCGTCGTCGTCGTCGTCGTCGTCGTCGTCGTCGTCGTCGTCGTCGTCGTCGTCGTCGTCGTCGTCGTCGTCGTCGTCGTCGTCGTCGTCGTCGTCGTCGTCGTCGTCGTCGTCGTCGTCGTCGTCGTCGTCGTCGTCGTCGTCGTCGTCGTCGTCGTCGTCGTCGTCGTCGTCGTCGTCGTCGTCGTCGTCGTCGTCGTCGTCGTCGTCGTCGTCGTCGTCGTCGTCGTCGTCGTCGTCGTCGTCGTCGTCGTCGTCGTCGTCGTCGTCGTCGTCGTCGTCGTCGTCGTCGTCGTCGTCGTCGTCATCGTTGTCGTCGTCCATGTCCACCGGCATCTGGAGCGCCCCGGATCGGCGGCACTGGCCGGAGGCCACTACAATATAAACTTTCGGAGCTCCACGTGGATTTCTTGGATCGGCGCCTTCTCTGGCACGCGGAACGCGCTGGGCGTGGCGCCAGAGGGGCCGCCAGGGGGCTTCAGCGCCGATCCGAGAAATCTGCGCGGAGCTCCGAAAAATTATGATTATGCCGCTTTTTCTGCTTCGATTCTTCGCGAGGTTCGGCAGCATCCGCGAGAGGTGAGAGGAGGAGGAAGAGGAGGAGGAGGAGAGGAAAAGGCGGAGGAGGAGGTGGAGGAGGAGGAAAGGGAGGATGAGGAGGAGAAGGAGGAGGAGGAGGAGGAGGAGGAGGAGGAGGACTCTCCGAAGGACTTTCCAATACCGACGCTATTGGGTAGGAGGAGGAGGAGGTAAAGAAGATGCAGGTGGTAGGAGTTTGTGTGTAAGCAGTTCGAGGAGCTCGAGTTTGAGGAGGGAGGAGGGAAGGGACAGGAGAAGGGCTCTGGCTCTCGTCTCCGCCCCCGAGGCGCCGCGCCCGTCGCCTCGCTGTCCGGCATGGGCCCCCTGGCCGGCCGGCGGCCCTCGCAGGCGGCCCCTGCAGCCGCGCCTGTGGCCCAGAGGAGGCTCCCACGAGCGTCGCCGCCGCCGCCGTCGCGGTCGCCGCCGACGTCGCCGTGTTCGCCGCCGTGGCTGTCGCCGTCGCCGCCGCCGTCGCTGCCGTCGCCGCTGTCGCCGCCGCCGTCGTCGCCGTCGTTGGAGAAGGAGGGGTCGGTCGAACGGACATGCGAGTCTGGGTTGATCGTGGTCGAGATTAACATCGAATCCGGGTTAATCTCGATCGGTGGCGAGGTCGAGATTCATATCTAGTCCGGGTTGATCGCAGTGCGCATGTGATCACGAAATCTTCTCGTCGAAGACAGCGGTGTGTACCGTTTGGAGGTTGCTCGTGCGGCTCGCCCGAGGATTGGCAAAAACGGCGGTCTAGTAATATATACACATATGTACATGTATATATGTATATGTATATGTATGTGTATATGTATATGTATATGTATATATATATATATATGTATGTATATGTATATGTATATGTATATGTATATGTATATGTATGTGTATGTATGTATGTATGTATATATATATGAATAAAAAATGATTGGTGATGTCGCGCTGCTGGCACCACGTGAGAGTCGGAAGCCTTTCAGAGGAGGGGGGAGGAGGTGGAAGGAGGGGGGGATGAAGAGAAGGGGGGGAGAAGACATAAGTACTCGGTACCAGCGAAACCTGCGAACGTGAGAGGATGTACAGGGATTCCGATGATGAGCAAAAAGATCGGGAGGAGGGGAAGGAGGATAACGAGGTGGAGAAGCTCCAGTACCAATGGGACATCTGATAACACGAAGGATGATTATGGGGGGCAAGAGGGGGAGCAAAGCGAATGATGATGACGACGATGACGACGACGATGCTGATGATGACGATGGAGATGCTGAAGATGATCATGATGCTGATGATGATGCTGATGATGATACTGATGATGATGATGATGCTGATACTGCTGATGATGATGCAGATTCTGATGAGGATGCGGACAACAATAATAAACCAACCATAGTACTAATACGACTCATACTACTACAACTGGTAACAACAATTTTAGTAATAACAACAATACTACCACTTGCATTATTACTGTTGCTACTACTGTTTTTTTGTTGTTATTTTTGAAAATGACGGTGATGAGGAGGAGCGACAGCAACGATAATGATAATTATGAGGATGGTAGCGGTGATGGCTGTGGTGATGATGAAGGTGATGATCCAGATGACGATCATTTAGCGCAGAGAGG